AGTAGAGTCGTATACGTTGACATAATAGACATAAGATAATTTTTTATTTCGAATATTTCGAGCACGCCTGTGCTCTTCCTCAGCGATAACACGTATGATTAAAAAAGCTTTACAAACTAGCAATAGGGATAAACAATATAGCAGTGACTAAGATAAGATTTTTTTGTTCTATGTGAAATGTAATACTGTCTGAACCCCATGAAGAAATCGAATATGTTTAAACGTTGGATATTTAGAGCTTTGTAAAGTGTCAATAATATGTTATAAAGCAGAACATACTTCAACTTATTTCAGACTCCAAATATTGAGACTTTTGTTGCCATGTAATTTATATAAAAAGATCACATGACAGGTCATCATCAAGCCCAACTAAAAACAAAATGGGTTTGATTGGTGCGTAAAATTTCAAAAGAATTCATGAATAAACTCAAATCAAGAGTCTTAATTTTCTTGTTTACTTCTGAAAATAGCATGACTTGTCTTAATTTCATTTAATGTAAGCTTATTTGCAATAAACCATTTTGAAAGTTTAGGAAGCTCATTATAAAATATTCGAAAATCTTCCTGTATAATATCATAGTGATTGTATAGAATATTTGTGTCAGCAAACATTACCACCTCAATTTCTTAATTATATGAAGAAAAAAAATATCTTTTACATAATAGTAAAAATAATAAAGTACTCAATATCGAGCATTGTGGTACGCCACATCTGAATTCTTTTCCTTTAGATACACAGTAATTTATTAATTTATTAAGGTATAGGCCTATTGTAATTATTATTTGTTATAATATTATGTATACAAAAATAAAATTTTAAATTAAATTTGTTGACAATATATCTTTAAATATAATTTGTTTCAAAGTTTGCGGGCCATCTCGGATTGACTCGACTGGATTTCGATATGATACTAATTTTAAATTATTAGAAACAAGAGCAAACACTTCTCAATGTCGTGACGCTCGAGTATTACTATTATTGTTCCTTCTAAATGTTTGCCTACGGTAGACCTATGAAACCTTATCGATCATTTATCATGGGATGTACGTCTTAACAACTGTGAATGTTGTTGTATGTGGTATGTTGTATGCTAGTACCCTTTCTATAAGGTGTAATACCAGTAGTAGATAGGTACTATCAAATTCTAGAGAAAAAGAGGCTAACCTATGCCTAACTACAGGCCCCCTCCCTAGACTAAGCCTAGGCCCCTTAGGGCCTAGTTAAGATCCCAGGCATGACACCACAGTCACGCTTCACATGACATTACTTACAATTTTGAAAAAATTGAATTTACAATAATATAATAAAAATAATAATAAAATAAAAATATATTATTTCCGCAATAATTAATAACTAAGCCTTGTAATTAAGAACCTACAGTACAATGCTATTTACTAGGCCTATAATTAACTAGCCTTAATCAGTAATTGGTACTCTGCATTTTTGGCAGACCCTATGGCATCCAGTATTTTAGAACTATCTATTCTCACATTTTCTTTTAATTTGAAATTAACTATCGCCCTGTTTTATTTGATCAAGAAATGCTGGTCTTTTCCTCCTTGTACTTTTCCCTGAAAGCGCGGCCTTCTAAAACTGTTTTGAGTACATGATCAAAATCCTATTAGTACTGAACCAATCCAACTTTACTTAAGATCTTTCCTATAATTTTTATCATTTTATGTAAAGCGCATAGAGGCACTGTGCAATAAGCGCTATATAAATGTAACTTATTATTATTATTATTATGTATAATTTTTATTAGTTAAGCCTATTTAACCAAAACCTAGGACTTTCTGGGAAAAAAAAATGTTCAAAGTATACAAGTTCAAATAACACATTTTATTACTCGTGCAGTTCAATCAAATATTATTTTGTCATTTTAAACGGCCAATCGGCATTAATTAGCATGGTGATATCAATGTTTTTTTTTAATCATACAGCGACATTAATCTCAGTTTGTAGACGTTTATCTTTCGTTGATGACATTTGACCTCCTGAATTCTGCAATATGAGATTTTTTAGTCGAGTCAGTCGAGACGACCCGAGTGGAGTTTAATGCATATTTCGTACGGAAAAAATTGCTCCCCGCGAACCCTACAAGGAAGTGATATTTCGGGTCGTGTAATTCAAATAACCGTCAGCTACATTGTATTACACAATGATGGTATTTACTTTACACCCTCTCGAGGTCACCACCATTGTGTAATGCAATAGCTCACGGTCATATGAATCTGTTCAACCATGAAGTGGACTAATGATTATGACGCTCGCCATGACAGCGAGAGTCGTAGGTTCGAATCCCGTCGGAGGGATTTTAACATGTCTCACCTTATCGCTACCTAACAATGCGACCATACCGACCTAAGGTCGTATCTGACCGGAAGTAGGACCTGGCGACCAGTACCGACCACTATATTTTTTTCAACATGTTAAAAAATCCGCGACCATCGACGACCCTCTCTTCTACACAAGCAAGTTGCTCATAGCAGCTTTTACACTGGTCGGTGTCGGTCGTATACTGATCGCAGTGCATATAGGTCGTGATAGTATGAGAGTTGCTTTTGTTACACAATGTATTTATTTATAGGACCACATTTGTTGAGAGCTATGCTACACGATGTACCATCACGTCCTTCATTCGAACACTGTTACACTGATTATTAAACACTATTATTATTGGACACTGGTTATTTATTTATATATAATTTAACAGTGTTAACGGCTATCTTGATTATTGTTATATGCTACTATTTAATATTATTATTAATATTGTTATTATTATTATTAATATTATTATTATTATTATTTACTATATTATTATTGAACACTGATCATTTATATATAATTTAACAGTGTTAACGGCTATCTTGATTATTGTTATATGCTACTATTTATTTCCAGCCGTTCTTTACGTCCTCTCGAGGTCCACCATCATTATGTAATACAATTTAGCTGACGGTTATTTGAATCTGTGCAACCATGAAGCATCTGTGGTCTAATGGTGATGATGACACTCGCCTAGACAGCGAGAGGTCGAATGTTCTATGACAATTTTTATTAGTGAGCAAGTATACCAAACTTCGAATATCATGGGATAATAACATTGTTCACAGTCTTGTTAAAAAGTATGGTTTATACTGTGACCATGATACTATGACATAATTTGGCCTTTGATTTGTTTTCTTTTGTCAGGCTTTTTTTAGTATCTATGCCATTACACGCCCTTTAGGCGAGGCAGAGTATTGTCTTACTATGTTCGTTGTTTTGCCACGCCGTCTGTACCGCCGTTTAGGCTTTATCGACACCACCGCTTCTTTTGTATATTCTCTATATAACCTTGTTCATCTCACTATCATATCAGTACCTGATGACGACTTTCTTAAAATATCCTAACTCTAGCCTGTCTCGCTAATTTTTACAAACCATTATTGTCGGACTCTTGTGTTGGTGTCAG